TCTACCCCAACAGTTCCAGCATATTCAACACAGATAATCCCACCCCCATTGAAACTGTCCTCCTAACCCTCTACAACTGGAAACTATTTTTATATTTGATTTTTGAAAATGTATTTCTGTGAATCTTTATTGTATGTGTGTTGTACGTCTTTGCGAAGCCAGTGGCCTGATGAAGCGTGACCACGTGAAAGCTTACCTCCCGATATCTGAATAAAGAAACTCTTCAAATATTTAAAAAAAAAAACGACATTTAAAAATTATCCTGCATGAGTTTCTTTTCAACCAAAAATCAAAATTTATTTAAAGGAGAAATAACGATTATTTCTAACCTTAAGGATGAAATATGAAAGGATGAATTGTGAAGAGTAATGATAAACGGAAAAATAAAAGTGTCCAGGTAGGGAATTGAACCCACAATGTTCCGCTTACCGGGCAGATGCCATGTCCACTAGGCTACCTTGAACATATTTTTCCGTTCGTTATATTTAATTATAAAATATAACCATTATATAAGCTTATTTATTGAGAAAGGTATAAACTTGGTGAGCTTTCAGACAACAACTTTCTTCAACACGCTATAATACGGATACAAGAAACTAAAAGAGAAAGAAATTACATATCTACATGTAAAATTTGCTTAAGTATTCATACATATAGTTAAGATAGAGGTTGTCTGGCCGGCATTCATATTTATATGAAAAATAGATCATAGTCTTTGACGAGTTTAATATTTGTTTTTGACTCGTGCTTTGGATGTGGTACTAAATTCGAAAAATCACGTGAGAACGCCTTTGCAACCTCAGAACAATTTTTAACGCCTTGCCAAATGTTTTATTTTTATTTACTTCTCCTGACGAAGACAGAAAATATTTGTCGAAACGTTGAGAAAATAAAAAACTCTAACTGGCCTAAGTGTCTATTTTTCATATACGTATTCATACATATTGTTATTGATTTGTGTTAATTTATGCCTAACTGGCCTTGTCTTTATTGTCTGCGGAAGAGCATTGCTCGATGCAAATATTTGATTGTAATTCTACTGTCCTATAAGCTTCTCTCCATAGTTTTCTTGAAAACCATTTGCGAGATTCCACCCTTCAGTGCTGCGTATTTAAGCAGAATCGTCCAATACAGTATTAGAGCTCTGAGAAGCGGTCTGGTGGATTAAATTGGCGAAACCGCTGGGAGGGTTCACCACTGATGAGCCAAGCCCTTCCAATATATTTTTTCATCGCAGTAAGGGCAGTAGAAGTTTGTATTATGTATAAAAAAAAACATTCTTGCTTTTAAATCCTTTCATTTTATACATATTTTAACCATTAAAATAAATATTTGCAAATGAAAGAATAAAATTCACTTAATTCAAATTTGTGTGTGTGTGTGTGTGTGTGGAAAACAAAAATCAACACCTTTGAGATAGGTAAACAATACAGAATATAGTCTGTAATGTTGGGTTTGGATGGAATTATCCAACACTATTTTCCTTTTTAAGTTCTATATAACTAAGCTCTACAATTAGTAACCTGAAAATGAAAAATATTTGCGTAGGCTTAGTTCATTAGAGGTAAACCTGCCCAACGATTTCGTCAATATAATCCACAGGATGGTTAAAACTATTGTATTGTTCATTCTATTTACATAGACTGTGTATTGTTCATTCTATTTGCATAGACTGTGTGTTGTTCATTCTATTTGCATAGACTGTGTGTTGTTCATTCTATTTGCATACACTGTGTATTGTTCATTATATTTACATACTTCGTTTGGTTCATTCTATATGCATAGACTCTATGTTGTTCATCTTGTTTACATACACTGTGTATTGTTCATTCTGTTTACATAGACTGTGTGTTGTTCATTCTATTTGCATACACTGTGTATTTTTCATTATATTTACATATTATTTTGTTCATTATATATGCATAGACTCTATGTTGTTCATCCTGTTTACATACACTGTATTGTTCGTTCTATTTGCATATATACTGAATTGTTCATTCTATTTGCATACATTGTGTATTGTTCATTATATTTACATACTTCGTTTTGTTCATTCTATATACATAGACTCTATGTTGTTCATCTTGTTTACATACACTGTGTATTGTTCATTCTGATTACATAGACTGTGTGTTGTTCATTCTATTTACATACACTGTGTATTGTTCATTATATTTACATACTTCGTTTTGTTCATTTATATGCATAGACTCTCTGTTTTTCATCTTGTTTACATACACTGTATTGTTCGTTCTATTTGCATATATACTGTATTGTTGATTCTGTTTGCATATACTGTGTTTTCCTTTCTATTTAAATATACTGTATTATTAATTCTATATGAAAATATATATTGACGGTGTGGTTCATTCTGTTCATTATGTATCTATCTTTTTCAGGAACATTGTTGGAATGAGTATAACTGTAGAAATTTCAATGGATAAAAACTTAAGGAAGGGAAATTATATGATTTTGTCGACCATCTGTATATATATATATTTTTTTTTTTTTGAAGGAGACAGAGGCTGTTCACACTCGGTTATCTCGTGTGCCTTCAATAAAAGTCCCTGTAATATCTTTCAGAGTTATTGCCTGAATCCCGATATACATGCTGAAATGTATTAACTTTCTTGAATATTGTCCATGATTAGTTGCCACACACACACACACTCTCTTTTGACAAATCTATATTTGACGAGACCTTCCATCAACGATGAAACTGAATATCATTTACATCTCCGCATAGAAAATGGCGATATTCATATATAGAAAGTGTGTAGTGTTCATATATATTCAAATATAATAAGTATAAATGCTATTTTAAGTAAACGCTTTCATTAAAATGCCCTAAAAAAAAGATTTCGTGAACATTTTAAAAATTCGGAATTCTCTTCCCAAATTTATACGTAACTTCTGCCAACACTCTGCACATTACCTATATAGAAAATATTACAAATATAACGAACAATTTGTAATACTCGTCTTTTTCTGTTCATATAGTTTCTGTATAAGATTATAATCGTTTTCTTTGTATGAAAATATAAGACTCACCTAAATTGAAGGTAATATGTATATTTACTGTCTTTTTGTTGTTTGTGTGTAAATTATGAAATATATGTAAAATAAATAGGTAAAATAGGTTAGGATAAAAGGAAAAATATTGATTAATAAAGAGCAGTGTAAAAGTGAGTTTGGTCCCGGGCGTCTTACTGAATCTTCTTTACAGCTTGAAATTGTCTCCACGTGGTATCTCAATATCTCAATTTAAGGGTACCTAGGGCAAACAGCTCTAATCGATCCAACTGTTTCTATTTATGGTATTTCTCTTCCTCAACTCTAGTTTTTCAATAAAAAAAACCTAGTTTATTAATAATAATATAAATACTTTAAAAGAGTTATAAAATAAAAATATTCCAATCAACAAAATGGGTGTTGACTATTTTGTAGAGAGCTAATTGGGTATTTGAAACGATTTGAAAAATAAATTAAAAATTAGTTTCGAATCAGAGTTGAGTATCTCACTCATTTGAATGCTACATAGAAGAGGCGGGAGGTTAGCTGTTGAAAACGTTATAATAATACTAATGAAAACTCGTTATATGAATACAGGAATATGTTAAGGTACCTGCACCAATTCGATATTGATAAATTTGAATATTTTTCCTTTTTTTCCATAACATGTTTCAATATGAGAAACCTTTGGTAGCTAGCGGTGATATAATGTGGCTTATTGGAAATGAAGGCACGCAATTTACGATTGGGACTGCCAGAATCTTCAAAGTAGTTTGTAATAAACAACTAACCGTAATCCATTCTATTACAGATAATTGGTGTTGTTGCCGTGTCCAATGAAGAGCCTCAGATGTCTCTATACAGCTCTATCACAGCAGTCGCAATGTCCACTATCTTGGGTGTGTATACTGTATTGTTGTTGTAGTCGTGTTCAATGAAGAGCCTCAGGTGTCTCCATACATCTCTATCACAGCATTCGCAATGTCCACTATCAAAACGGATTATTGGGAGTCATTATAAAAATAAATTGAAAATATGTTATTGTTGAAATATTACACAGAGTAACAATGGCTATAGATGAGCTCGTGTTTGAAAAGGAACTTGTATATAATAATTATTGTTTTCGTTGTGCTCATGTAGACATATATACCAAGATTTGTTTTGTATAATTGCTAATAATAATATATAATATGTAAAGTTAAATTGGTTACGGATCCATCTTCTTACTTACTTTAATAATATAACAGGTACATAGTCCAAAGTACCATAAAATATGCTATCTTAGTACGGATACTAAATCAATTTGAAATCTAGAAATGCACCGTCTTTTACTAAAAGATATATTTTATCTTTTATTTTTGTGTTTGATATATAATCACAATATGTTGGATGGTGGAAACCTAGTCCAACCACATAGGTTGTCCATGTCTCAGAATCTTTCTTGGATTGTTCCAATTATATAGTTTGTAGAACGACATTTGAAATTTATCCCGCATGTGTTTCTTTTGAACGAAAAAACGAAATTTATTTTAATAAGAAATAACGATTATTTATAACCTTAGGAATGAAATATGAAAGGGTGAATTGTGAAGAGTAATGATAAACGGAAAAATAAAAGTGTCCAGGGATGAGAATCGAACCCACAGTGTTCCGCTAACCGGACAGATGTCATGTCCACTAGGCTACCCTGGACATATTCCATATAAATATATAGTTTTTTGGGTTAGAAATGATATCAGAATTATAACTACATGGTCTCTCTATATCTCCTTCCTTTTGTGCTTTCCTCTACTGAACCAGACTCTACCAATATTTTCTCATCGCAGTAAGAACAGTAGAAAAGTTGGGTTTATTGGTGAAATTAAAAAAACCTCGATAAAATTAAGAAGTTAACTTCTCTTAGCGTTTATATAATTGCATTAGGCCAATCTAACATAGTAATAATCAAACCTGAACACTATATAGAAAAAATGTACTAAAGAAACTACCGTGTTGAGAACTAAATTATTCTACGTAAATTACATAAAAATAGAACAGAAGTAGCATGAATGAAAAGTATAAAAACGGGACAACTTTATTGGCTACCACAAAGCAAAGGAATGAAGAAGGCAAGCAGCTGGTGAAGAAATGGTTCAAATCAATTCCAGAGAGGCTTCTTCCTTTGTTAAAAAAAAAAAGCTCTCCAGGTAGGAAAAAAGGGCGGACGCTCCATTTGGACCCATGATAATCCAAATCCCCGGATGCCTCCAAATCTCTTAATTCAGACTGGAGTCCTGGCAGATCTAGCAGTCCTTTCTCTGATAGGGTAAATCGGAGGATCGAAGGTAGAATTAACTCCAGCACTGCACGCAAACTCCCGGGGAACGCTATTTGTATGTGGTTTAGTTGTATACTTTTTAAATTGTTATTTATTAGCATCGTGGGGGGCTGAGAAGTCCATTGTTGCTATTCA